GCTGCCCCGGGGCGGGGGGGGGTTGGTGCCTGCGTCTCAGGACTGAGCACAGTGTGCGGGTGTGTGCGGCTGTGGCGTCTCCTCACTGAACAGCCTGGCACGCAGCTCCCTCGGGAGCCAGCTTTGTGGTTCTGAGTGGAAGAGAGGTCAGATTTCCCCAAGGAATCTCAGAATAGCCCCAGACTGCCCGGAGGAAACCTGGCCTGGCCTCCTGGTGGCCAGTCTGGCCTTTGGTCCTGCCTGTTCTGCCCCTTTGCCCCTGGCCATGTGCAGCTGTCTGCCCGTGGACAGTGGACTCCCAGCCCTCTGCACAGGGTGGCCAGAGGTGCCCGAATGCGTCGCAAATACCTGTCTGGTGCTGGGCCCACATAGACGTGAGGGCGTTACCTGACCAGGTGGGCATCCAAGAACCCTCACAAACAAGCACTGCTGGCCCTTGTGGTGGTCCCACCGTGGATGGCAGGAGGACAGTGACATGGTGAAGAGGGAGCAGCCTGCGTCCGAGGCGTCCATCCTCGCTGAGGCCCCTGGAAGGCTAAGGCTGGGCTGGGGCCCTTGGCTGGGACCCAGGGTCTGAGGGAGGCCTCCGGGGAGAGGGGATGTCCAGCCTGAGGACAGCCAGGAAGAGGCCCTGTGGGGGAGGGCCACACCTATCCCAAAATAGGGCCAGCAGAATCTCCTGGCCATAAAAGGCTCTTAGAGCCTGGACCCCGGGGACCCCAGGCAGCCGGGCCCAGCTAAAACCCAGCTGCCACCTCTGCCCCTCACGCTCTGCCCACAGCAGTGCCAGCGCCACCCTGCAGTGCCCTCTCAGCCAGCCCCAGACATGGTGAGGCTGTTCGCGGCGTCCGGCGGAGTCCCTGGTGGGTGGGTTGGCTGGCTGGCAGAGTGGGAGCTGAGGGGCAGGGCCCCCAGGCTCAGGGGTCCTCTGGGGTCATGCCGGAAGGTGTGGGGGTCTCTGAGAAGGAAGCTCAGCGAGGCCGGGCAGAGAGGACAGAGTGGGGGGTCAAGGCCGAGCCCTGGGGCACTGACACTGGCCTTGCTCGGGGGGCCGGGGCAGAGCGGCACTTTCTGAAAGCTGCCACGGAAGTGACCACGTGCTGGACCATCCCTCCAGGATGCTGGAGCTGGCTGGGCCGAGGACTCTGCCCCCGGCCTGTCTTCCAGGCCCGGTCTCCGTGCAGGCCCGGAAGCCCCTGCCCGGGACCCGTCACCTGGCCCGGGCTCAGGCTCCTCGCCGGCCCTCACCTCGTGTGCGGGGCCGTGGGGGCTGGCACTGACCTCCCCCCACCCGCAGCCCCCGCCGCTCCCCATGGGGCTGGCCTGTGCCCTGGCCTGTGCCCCATACCTGGCCCGCCTCGAGGGCCTCCCCTGGGAGGCCTGCACGTCCCGCACGACCCATCGTGTGTACGCCGTGTCTGGGAGCCGGCTCTGGGCTGCGGCCCTGGAGGGTGGCTGTGCCATGCGACCCGGGGCCTCCACCCACCCCCCGACCGAGGGGCGGGGGGCCCCGTGAAGCTGGGCCGGCGTGTCCCCGCAGTCGGAGCGTCTGACGGCCGAGCAAGTCAAGGAGTACAAGGGCGTCTTCGAGATGTTTGACGAGGAGGGCAACGGAGAGGTCAAGACGGGGGAGCTGGAGCGGCTCATGAGCCTGCTGGGCATCAACCCCACCAAGAGCGAGCTGGCCTCCATGGCCAAGGACGTGGACAGAGACAGTGAGGCCGGCCGGGCCCGGGCGGGTCGCCTGTGTTGCGGGGGGCTGTGCCGGCCTGCCCTCACGCGGGCCTGGCCTGCTGCTTGCTCCTCGCAGACAAAGGCTTCTTCAACTGCAACAGCTTCTTGGCCCTGATGGGCGTTTACTGGGAGAAGGCCCAGAACCAGGAGAGCGAGCTGAGGGCGGCTTTTCGTGTCTTCGACAAGGAGGGCAAGGGCTACATCGACTGGGACACGCTCAAGTAGGGCCGGGACGGCGGGGCGGGTGAGGGCGGGCGCCCCGTGGGCCGCCACTCAGTTCGAGGGGCCCGTAGGTACGTGCTCATGAACGCGGGCGAGCCCCTCAACGAGGTGGAGGCTGAGCAGATGATGAAGGAGGCCGACAAGGACGGGGACGGGACCATCGACTACGAGGGTGAGCAGGGGAGCCGGGAGCCTGTGGCTGGGCCTGCTGGGCTGCTGACCTGTCCCTCTGCTCCCAGAGTTCGTGGCCATGATGACCGGAGAGTCCTTCAAGCTGGTCCAGTAGCAGCAGCTGCTTCTGCCATGGGAGGCTGCCCGAGCAAGGAAGGCTGCTGCCCACGTTGTCACCCACCATGCCACCCACCCCACCCCACCCCACCCCAGCAAATGGCCAATAAACGCTCCAGCCAGACTCGTGTGTGCATCACTGTCCCCAGCCTGACAAAGGCGTGGGTGTGGAGAAGGGAAAGGGTTTTCCTGGGTCGAGCATGGCACACAGCCCGTCACTTCTGCTGTGACACCTGATAGCACCCACACGGCCCAGCTCTGGGCTCCGACGGCTGCCTGAGGCCAGGCCAGGCAGAGGCAAGGCCTAGGCACCCCTCCCCCCGCCCGCCTGCACCAGGGCGGCTGCCCACGGCCCCTCCCGGAGCCCGCTCCTACAGGCAGAGACCGCTTACATACAAATTTTATTCTCTCTCCAAAAACCATGGCACCTTGGGCCTGTGGGGCTCCCTTGGGGCTGAGGGCCTGCTGGGCTGGGCTAGGGACTGGGGCTGAATGTAGCGGCCTGTGTGTGTGCGCGCGCGTGTGTGTGTGTGTATGTGTGCGCGTGCACGCGCATGTGTGTATGTGGCCAACACAGGGCCTGCCGGTTGGGCTGCCTGGCGTTACATAGCAACGAGGCCAGGGCTGCAGCAATGTGCTGGACGTCTGGTCTTCCCAGGGGGAAGGATGGTGAGGGTGGACTGGGGAGTCTGTGAGCACGAACGAGGTGGCCGGTGGCCTCGGGAGCTTAGGAGAGCCTATGCACCCCCTCCGAGGGGCACCGGGGCTGCAGCTGGCAGCGATGGGTCCAGGAGGGGTCTCTAAGCCTGAGGCCCCACAAGGGGACTAGACTATTGAGAGGGGGGTGGCTCTTTCTGTCTGGGTTTGGCCATCTTGACAGCCTCGTCATAGGAGGGCGGCAGCTCAGGGGCGCAGAGGCTGTAGGCAGGAGGGGTCACGGAGTCAAGGTCCAGCCCCACAAAGGGCAGGGGCAGCCGCATGCCGGCCAGGTGCTGCACGGAGCTGCAGGCTGCAGGGGACCAGAGTGTGTTTGTGGGCATGGGCCTGGCCCTCACCCGCCCCCAACACGCTTGCAGGCAGGGAGGCCACCAAGCCAGCTGTGCACTCACAGGTCACAGTGCTGTGTGCAGGGCTGTCACTGTCCACAGGGACGATGGTCAAGTCGCAAAGCTGAGGTGCCGATGGCAGGTGTGGCTGGGTGTGTGCCCGCTTCCGGAGGCAGCAGAACCGGACACAGCTGGCCGTGACCCCACACAACAGCAGCAAAAGGGCGGCCAGCAGGATAAGCCTGGGCACAGAGGAGCAGGACCCTACCACTGGGCTGACCCCCGGTCCACTGGGGACCGTTCCTGGGGGTACTTATGGCCCAGCCACCCAAGGCAGGAAGATCGACAGGATAAAAGAAAACCGGACAATGTCTTTCCAGGCCGGAGGCCTTCTTCCTGGCCAGAGCTGGGCCTGAGCAGCTGTCCCACCCAGGCCTCCTGCTGCTGGGCCCGTCCTGGCTGTCTCTCCAGCGCTGGCCACAAGTGGCCTTGGGCTCACTCCCAGGACACCCTGTCCTGGGCTGACTTCACACTCCTATTCCCAGACCAACGGCCATGTTCGCAGGGGACTCCCTCAGGAGAGAGGAAGGGGGAGTGGGAGGTGGGCTGGCACCTCTGGAGGGAAGCCCTGCCAAGAGCCAGGGGTGCCCGGAGCTGTGCGGGGCTGGGGCAGGACCCACAGGGGAGACCGCTCCTGCTGCTGGGGCCAGAAGGCTGCTGAGGGCCCCAGCGCCTTCCCGCGGGGAAGGGGACACTGCTGGTGACTCCTTGGCGGTACGGCAGGGTTGAAGGGTAGTGGGTTAAGGGGGAGGAGGGGGCAGGATCTGATGGGCTTGGCCCCAGGGAGGACCGTCGGACCCGGCGCCGCGGCCTCCACTTACCCCACGTGCCACAGGCTGCTCCAACGGGCCTGGGGAGGGCACCTGCGGGGACAGCGGCACCTGGAGCAAGCGGGGCAGAGTCCGGCCGACCGCCCCGCCCTCGCCTCCCCGCAGGGCGGGGCCAGGCTCCCTCTCCCCTGGCCCCCGACTTACTGGTCGGAGGGGTCGCAGCTGCCGTCCGCGAATCCCAGCGCCACCTGTGAGTACAGGGGTGCGTTCGGGCCGGGACGCACAGAGCGCAGACCCGCCCTGCGGAGCCCGAGCCGAGCGCCCGGCGACCCACCTGCGGCAGCAGCAGGAGCGGCAGCAGCAGCTGCAGGAGCCCGCGGGAGGCCGATGGCCCCGCAGACATGCTCGACAAGGACCCGCAGCGCTACCTCGGCGGCCCGCCGCTT